CTTGTTTTACTAGGAGAATATTGAATGTGTTCAAAGTACATTGCCATCGGGGATTATTATATTGAAAACTGAATACAAATATTCAAGAACTATCATGATTTTACCAATTGTAATACAGATAATTATATCTAGAAGATATTTTATAACTTCTAAAATCAAATGATGGAAATGATTGAAAAAAACCCGATGGCCGCATTATGAGTATCATAACTCGTGCACATAGTTGCTATTCAGTGCTAAAAATCTGATGATTGCTGACTGATTTCTCTAATCCGAAATATTGTATCAATACTCAATAATTTTTTTCTGTTTATATTCATATTAAGTTAGACTACGTGTGTGTAAAAATGGATTGTTCATTTCTCGACCAAATTCAATATCAAGCGACAGTTAAAATAAAATTGTTATAGTTTCTTTTTCTTGTCTTTCCTTGAGCTCTAGAAGAATGTTACATGTTGCCTTGTCGTTTAGTAGTGGTTTACACGAAACTATTCATTCAATTGAGACCATTGATATAACTTCGTATCTTGTGTATTTTAGAAAGCATCAGATGTTAACCTCGATATACTGTTTATTTTAGCGTCATATAGATCACGGATTCAAATAATTAAGTTTCCGATATAAATTGATGATAATCATTATAAATTTGAAGATAATGTCAATATTTTTTATTCTTGACTAAATTTGTTGTTCTTTTGGAGCTGTTTGGAATAATTAATGCAATCAGTCGTGATATTCAGCAAGCATTTCATCGCGAACCATTGGTAGTTGTATCATTTTTAATAAGAATGTAGATCAATATTTGAAGTCACGTAAAGGTTATTTGGTGATGTGAATGAAGAGAAAAACCTCATCAGAATCCACGCCCGCACTCATTTTCATTTACAATATATTTGATGATCAAAAAAAAAAACTTAACCTAAAACAATTGATAAAAACTTACATTAACATTTTGTTGTTATTCTCTTTTGAACTATTGAATCATTACAATAACTTTCTTTACTGCAAAGTTGAATTTATTTTTCTTCATAAAATACTGCTAACTAAAAAGTATCGATGATACGAGATCAAATTAATTCTATGACATCAAACAATAAATTATTCATATTTTATTTGAATTCTTGTTTGTCATTTTGTAACAACTTTATGAAAAGGCAAAACAAAAATCAGTTTCCGTTAAAAATTAATTTCATTTTCTCTCTACTAAAATATACGATCAATTGAATGTCACTAGACAGCTTTAGTGCATTTTGAATTGAGAGGAAAATATTCGTCTGAATGACTAAAAAGGTCACTTTAGACATCACTACAATGATTGACTATATCATTTAATAGAACCTTCGTCATTAATAATATTTCATTTCTTCTCATGCAGAAATCATCACTTTTATACATTCTAAAAAACTTATGTATTTATTTAGAAGATAAAAAACAAACTCATTTCTATATCTGATATTTCTTTTCTTATGAGACATTTCTGTACGATAAAGGAACGCCTCACACTAATTAAATTCAATCTGTTGTTTATATCATCCGTAACAAAAACAAGACAATATAACTTCTCAAGAGATCATACACTGTACAATATGGCATGGCTCTTATCGGTTTAGACTAGAATAATACTTGACCATTGATCATCCTATATTACATTTTCTTTTTTTTTTTCCTGTATAATGTTTATGCTCATCTTGTTCATATTAGTTTCTTTGACTCGCTTGATCACCATCACAAATGTCTTGCACATGCCAATAAAGAGTATTGAATATTTCTATTTTGTTATTACTATTGATCGATTTTGAGTCTTATCAAAATTGGAAACAAATAAAAAAATAATACCAACTATATAATTATTTTTTTTCTTTATTGACAATCTTTGAGCTATTGATGTATTATTAATAGTGACGCTTAAGAATCAAAGTGAAAAGAAAAAAAAAAGAACCTTGATTTGCTATTCATTGTTCAACACTTCTTTAATTATGAACTAGTCGCTATAAGGTGTAATCTATAAGCATATATAATCATATTTGTTTTTTTTTCCTTGAATAAGTACGATAAAAGAACGTTTTATAGAAGAAATCAATTTGAAACTGTCATATAATGACTCTTAAGAACTTACTATGTCAGTGACAGACATTACTATTTGTATGAGTCAATGAGAGAATGCAAGAGCGTCAAAATCGAATTGACTCGAATAGACACGCATTCACGATAGTGCGTCTTCATTTTCTCTTTATTTTCTAGAGTACTAGTAGAATCAGAAATAATAAGTGTATTTGTCACTTCACTCACGCACAGTAGGAAAACTAATTGCACGAAGAAAAATGAAGTATGTGATGGTGTGATCTATTCAATGATAAAATCACCTGGTAAAAGATCGATTATGTTAAAAAATTGAGAAACAATGAGAAGTGTCATTATTCTATTTGTATGCACGCTGTTTGATCTTTCTTTTGATTATCTAAAAATCCCTTTTGAACACGAGGCAATAAATATTCTATTTATTGTTCTTGTGTAGGTCGCTCTTTTTCGCCAGCTTTAATCCACATAGCTAAGCTAGATATCTTTTCTCTCTAGTCCTAATTCCATTAGTCTAAGTTTATTTTTCTTTTCTTTCTCTCTCTCTCTTATTCTCCCTCTTCTCTTTCCTTCTTGCCTTTCCCTTATCGTTATAAAGAGAGAAGAAGCATAATCTACAATCATCTTCTTTTGTATACGTTGTTTCATTGATCTACTAGTACCAACATGTTCCAGTTATAAAAGAAAACGACAGTTGCCTTATTACACAATCGATTATAAACAAATATCATACGTGATATCAAATAAAAAATCTATTAAAAATACAAGTGATGTTTGATTTTCAAATCTTTAATAATGAACAATATTCTTATTATTATTAAACATATTTTTTTATTTATTCTCCGTAAGTTATTTCCATCAGTGAACAATGTTTTAAATTTCTTTAAGAATACAAACTATTTTCTCAGATAAAATTATTATTTGTTTTTTTTTTCTTTTTCTTCAGTTATTTTAATGAAACAAATAACAACAGCTAATAAAATATTTCCACACATCATTACTGAAACACATAATCAAACATTAAATTTATCTTCTACAGCTATATTAACTTGTCATATACGCGATTTAGGTGAATATCATGTAACATGGTTTAAAATAGATCCATACACATCTATATCATCACCATTAGCTGTTGGAAAACAATTATTTACAACTGATAAACGTTATTCAATATCATTTTATTCAACATCAATAAAAGATTCTTTTTGGTCACTAGAAATTTATCAAATAAATTTATCAGATGAAGGTACATATATATGTAAAATTTCTAATCGAAAAGCAAGTGTTAGTATACATATACATTTACATATACAAATACCAATGATTATACATCCTACATATATTTATGTAGAACCAAATACAAATATTAAATTAAATTGTAGTATTTTAATGAATATTGATTATAATAAATCATCAATATCATGGCATTTTTTATCAAATCAATACAATAAAACAAAACCTTATGATGTACATATTAAAAAAAAACTATTTAATAATATTTTAACTTCATATTTAACTATTAATCATGCGCAAATATATCATACAGGTATATGGACATGTGTTTATAAACATCAACGACTTAGTGCTAAAGTTATTGTTCAAAAAGGTAAAATTAATTGATTATATACGATAAGAGATTTGTTTTATTTCTTATTTTTTAGATATTTTAATAGATAAACGTGCAAGTGCTTTATTATCAAATGATTCTAATCGAAAAACATTTTCAATAAAATTTTTTCTTTTTGTTTTTTTTATTGTTTATAAATGTTAGAAGAAAAAAAGGACACGATACTTAATGAACAGTATGTATAGAACATTAATAAAATGTCAGATGAAAAAAGAAAAACGACTCATTTGAATGTCTACAAATGAACAAAAGGTCTTATATTTTCAACTAATCTATTAAGCTGATCCTTGACAAATCGGTCAAGCATGGATAAATTGACTGTCGACGACATTAATTAGAGAAAATCATCCACGTGTACGTGAGTTGTGCCATCTCATATATGTTATCAGAAAAATGAATCTCTTTTGTTCATGAAAAAAAGAAACAAAAATGGACCATGTTTTTAACGTCTAGTCAAAACTCATTGAACATAAAAAACTAATTGAAATAATATAAAATTCATTATTTTCAATTTCACTTATATACAGACAGATTGCTCTTGATTATGTGAAAGCATAGATTATGAATAGAATAAAAAAGAAAGAGAAAAGGTCACTTCAAAACTACTGTATGCTGTTCATCGAATGATGTTGATGATGATAATCAAGCAAAGGTCCTTTCTTTATGTCATATGATGACCTAATTTTAATCTTTGTCAAACAAAATTTGCATTTCGTTTCCAATGTCAATTGCACGACTAGTAAGTGAATGAAAGAGAATGCATGTATGTATGTTAACTAGATAATAATTGCATGGACGATGGCTGCAAATACTTGAACATGTCCTAACTCCTTATGTCATCTAGCGAACAGATGTGATAGTGAGAAAAAAAAGAATGATGAATATGAAACTGACACAATTGCAAGAAGATACTTTTGTTTATATTGATGTAATCGGTTCAGAAAATTGGCTAACATGTTACTGCCTGATGATTATATCATATAACAACAACAATAACAACTCTTTTTCTTTTTTTTTTGTCGTCAAACTTGAAGGACATATCATGTCGTGAGAAAAGCGATGTATCCGGTCTCGACTATATAATGAACGACGAACAATAATGACATGCAAATTTAATTTTATAATAGATAAAAAGAGAGATCCGAATGATTTTTTTTTTTATTTTAATTAATTTATTGTCCGAAAATTTTCATAAAAATAAAATAAATAAACAAAAAGAAAAGAATAATATGAATAAATCATTGTTCATTTAAGTATAATCTCTAGAAGATCTTCCTCTCGTTGTACTTTACTTTCTTCATTGAGCAGCAGCTTCATTCGCAAGAACTACTGCTCCTGCTGCTGGTTGCTGTTCGCATAGATTACGACCGTTTGTTAATGTAAGTTGAAGACGACATGAATAAATAAATAAGCCTAAAAATGTTTCTTTTTCATTGAAAGAAAAAACAACAAATGTATATTATAATACCTGCAAGATATGGATTCCATTCTTTTCTAATTACTCGTGCAATATATTTTCGATATAGATTACCTGCATTAGTGACTGATAACGATAAGTTTTCTTTATTTGCAATAAAATGATTTAATGTACAAGGACCATATTCACTGTGAAGCCAATCTTTTAAATCAACTGCCGTCAATTGAAGTGCTTGAACTGTTGCAATTCTTTGTTCATCAGAAATATTTTTTGCTCCTAGTAAATCTAAAGCATCATGAAGTTTTAATAGATCATGACCAATAGCTTCAAAAAACAATGCATTGCCATGGTTCAATGCATTATAATAAGGATCAGAGATTGTTGAAAATCTTTGATAAGGTTCAATAAGAAGATTATTTGAAGCCATTTCTTGACGAAATGCTGTAAATAAATGACCATCACCACATAAAATATGAACTTGTAATGATGGACGTCTTGAATCACTTTGATCAGGTACAAGATAATGACGTAACATATAAAGAGTTTGTACTCGTTGAAAATCTTTCATATCCATCTCAATTTCTTCAAAGAAAAAAAAGCTCATTTTTTCTCAAAAAAGAATCAATAAATAGATCTATGGGCAAAAGTTTTCCCTCTCGCGGATCTCGGTTACTATACATTTAAAACTGAGGTGTTAGTTTTTAGAATTCTGTAAATTTCGAGTTGAAAAGTCAAAAATGGAAACGATTGATTTCACCTCTGAATAATGCTTCCAAGTATCAATAGTAAAAATTTCGGCCAGGATACATCCCTATGAAAAACTAGAGTTTACCAGCAAAAGTCCACTTGAAAATTTTTTTCTTAAACATGTGCCTCGTTATTTTCAGCGAAACAATTTCAACTTGATCTATTGTACCATCTTTTGAGAACTAGAAATGGTCAAAAACGATCAGACAATTTAATCGAAGACTGCTACTTCCGCATGCTTCTGACGCGAGTCGTTTGTATTGAGATGGCATTTTCATTTAATGGACGATTCTTTCATGAAACTTTAACTACCAACAAAGTTAATGTATAAATTTCAAGTCGATTTACTAAACTATTACTAAGTGACAGATAGTTTTGCTTCACCCGAATATTGATGGACAAATGACTAGAATTTTAAGAAAAGTTGATGAACTTCGATGAAATTAATGCAGTAGATAAGTCGAGCACATCACTAAATAATGAAAAACGGGTTGAACCATAAAGTTCTTCTTTTTCAGCATTATGAAGTTAAATGGGTCAATAGGTGCAATGCATTACTATTCATCATAATTCTCGTTCTATTTAAACAATCGAAATAAACTCGTGTCTCAGACCTGCATTCTTACAAGGAAAGGTTCCCAAGTGATAAATTGCTTTTAAGCTGAAACCATATTCAATCAATAGAATCTAGTGAATAAGTAAATACCAGAGACTGATTGTAGTTGCTGGGCTTTTGTTCTTAAAACACCGAATTTTTAGTTGATTTCTGTCGTAGGACTCTAGTTTTCAAGTGAAATTATATTCCATAAGTCTTTTCAAGGTATGGATTTTTAAAATACAGACTTTTTGCCATGATTATTGTAAAAACCATAGATATTTTGAAAAATTCATATCATGAAACTACTTGATCAAAAAATTTTGAATTTTTTCTTACAAGTTAGTTTTATTGGTACTTTCATAGGGGTAAAGTTTTCGGTCAAAATTCAGAAGTTTAATTTCGCTTCAAAACTGAAGCCTTATAGAAAAGTCCATTAAAAACTCGGTATTTTAAGAACAAAGACTCAGTAGCTTGTAATACTCTTGAGTATTTACCTATTCACTAGATTCTATTGATTGAATATGGTTTCA